GCCGGAATTCCGAGAGAGTTTGGGCAATTTTTTCAGTCATTTGATCACAAAGACCAACCGCGCAAAATTTTTACGGTCTATGGACGTTGGTTTTAGCTGATCTAGTGGAAAGCCGATCAACAATCTGGTTCGAGGTTAGAGGGAATTTTGTCGGAGCAAAGGAAAAGCTTTTCCTATTGACTCGAACTCAGAATGATCTTTTCTGTACAAATAAATATAGAATGGAAATACATCACTTTGTCAGCATGATGCCTCGTAGTTAAGGCTTGTACGTTGTAGTGGCAGTATTTTATTTGATTCTCACACCACGTAAAATGATTGAATAACTTCTCCAGACAAATTTCTTTCCTGTAGACTATTCTTTAAATACGCGTCCTGTTTCTCAGTGGAAAAAGATTCCGCGAGTGTTACTGTAGTCGCAACGAGCCAACCCTCAACCATCGCAAGCGCTGTATCCGGGCACAGTTTTTTTTTCCAACATCATTTGGATTCAGTGGTTACGAGAGTACATGTCCGCTCTGAACAAACGCCATAAGTGGCACACACCAATCGAGCAAAACCTCCAGTCCGTAGATTTTGTTTAACTTGTCGAAGAAATTAGCAAGTATCGTAACCCCTATCTATGGCCAAGACGCAACGGCTCTCTAAGTTTTTGGCTGCTAATTTTTGTCTTTCTTGATAAACCTTGTTTCCAAAGTTTTGAAAAAATTATTATGCTCACTGTAAAAGTTGATATTTAAATATGCGTTTTGATTTAGAAACACATTTTTTTTTGCATATATTTTTTGTTAAATGGGTTGAAACTAATTATATTCATCGGTTTTTTCGTACGATAATTGTTAGAATTTAACAACACAACCGATCTACGATCTAAAGACCCGAGCCCGAATAGAGGTAGAGATTAAATTGGACATCTAAATTTGCTAGGGAGGTGACCCGTCCTAAAATGCAAGCAATCATGATCATTAAAAACTAAGGTCCCTATAGCGGTTGCTCGCAAAATTCAAGAACAGCATGTAGGTTGATTTTTGAAAAAAATTTGATCTATAATTTATCCAGTTTAAATGTTCTTATCTTTAACTCAGCAATTTTTTTTTCAAAATTTCACAATTTCTGACTATGGTGGGTCAAAACAACTAAGATTTGATACACTTACCTTTCACCGCTCAAATCAAATAGATTCTCAAATGCAGGATATCAATTTCGTCATTAATGTTTATAGTAGATAAATAAGAAAATACAATAAGGGTTGACTATCGGATGCTAAAGGAAATGCATATTTCTGAAATAAGTTTCAAAATTTTAAAAATGGTGAAATGATTTATTTCAGGCAATGTTGCAAGCAAAATATATTTGTCAGACCATATGTACTTAAAAAGTTCTTCTAAAAAATTAAATTGTATGCAAACTTTGTCTCAAAATTGGCAGACTACTCTTTTTTATTTAACTTTGTGTTCCAACTTCTTGCATTTTTAATTTATTGGTTTAAATTATACGGAGTAACACATACAAAAAGGAAATTTTTTTTGCCTAAATAACTGAAATGCGCTTATCTGTAGTGTTTGAAAAACTTGAGGAAGACAAGCAAAATTACGAAGAAGACACGCAAAAGACACAAATGAGCTCTGTCATCCCAATTAGTTTTTGATCCATGGAAGTCTCTTTTTCGGCAAAACTGATCTTTTTGATTGCCATAGATATTGATTGCCATTGATTCCATAACACAAAAATTGCCATAGATATTTGAATAAAGCCATCAAGACTCCGTATATTTTATACTGAAATATATCGTCATTCAGAAATAATTGGTCGTTCGTTTCTAATAGTTTTGACTTCAACTCAAAGTATTCGGTGAAAATTTAAGCAATTCAAAACTGTCTTCATTTCACGGTTACTACGAAAGCAGTGGAGGTATATGCAATTTTGTTTTTGTGCAAAGCAACGACGAAATCTCTAAATGGCTCGGCTTCTTCATATGATCATTGTTCTATCTGAATTGGGTCACTTACCGTTTTGATTTGTTGAGTACGATGTTTTCTGTGATGTAGCAGAGCTTCATTTTTTCACGTCAATATAAGACTATGCTTTAAGGATTTTTCACTGGGCCATAAAACGAAAATTTGAAAGAAAAAAAATACCGCTTGTTGAGTCCAAGTCCGATTTAGTTTTTTTTTCCAAGCTCAGATTCTTTAGAAAAATCAATAGCTTTCTTATACTATTTTATTGAATATCAAAAGAACAAAACTACAAAATAAATTTTTTTAATTTCTTTTTATTGGATATCAAAAAAAACTAATTGATTAATTTGCTCTACTTTGCAAAGCAAACAAATAATAGTCAAGCAGCCAGTCCTTTTGAAATCTTTCATAAAATGATTATCAGAACACCTGCAGTTGAATAATTTGGTTAGCAACTAAATTTTTTAAAGTAGAAAAAAAAAAACTTTAAGGAAGAATGTCAGAAGAATATCCAATTTAGAAAAATTCTGGAGATAGAGAATGACATAATTTGAATAAAAAAAATGTTCTAGTTTTGGAGTGTCAGAACTTTTGCAAAATTAAGTAATCAGTCAAATTAAGTTGAGTACGTTTTTCCGTGCAGTTTTATGATATCTTTTTTGTTGGGTTACTTGCTTTTATGCAGGCTTGCAAAAGCTTATTTAAACCAAGTTTAAGCTATGAAAACCTATGGTTAACTTAGTTGACTTTGAGAATCACAACTTCCTAGCATTCAAAAAAAATTAAAATATTTCACAATCTGTTTATGATTTTTTTTTTCGTTTTTCTTGTCATTTTTCGATGGACACTGTTTTCAATTAGCCAAATTGTCCAAAATTGTCCAATGTGCCTAATTTCCTTTTTTACGTTACGACCTTTTTACCACACCACACACAAAAAAACGAAACTAATTTGAAGAAAAATTGTGTCGTAAAATTTTGTGCCATTCGCACAGTGTCCGAATATCCTCTTTTTTCTCTATTGAAACAAAATCTGAAAACTATTCTATATTAACGGCAAAAAACCGCAAAAGAATCGAGATTTATTGACGACTCACAACGCTGGCCGTGACCAGGGGGACTAAAAATCTAGTTAATTAACGATTACTTTAGACTCTGGCTACAGTGACATTATCAAATATAAATCATATGAGCTATTAAAATAAAATTACTGAAAAACCATCAAATTTCTTCAAGCACCCATTGAAAAAAATCTGCTTCTCAAAACCGAACTCTCACCTTTTTTTCGAAATCTTTCGTTTTATCTACAACACATTTCATCCATATTTTGTTGTTATTTTCAGCAAGAAATAATTCAAACTCCAGGACAAAATATGATGAGGACTAAAAATGCGTAGAGTTTAACAAAATTTTTCTATGCTTCTTTCTGCCATATTTGGACTAATGATAAAACCTTGAAACTGGTCGATTCGTTTGGTTCATAAATAAATTAACACATAAATAAATTAACATAAATAAATAAATTATATCAAAAGGCTCTGTTTGCTTGCTTTTTGAGCCAATGTTTTTAGCCGACTTTGAAGGTTTATTTTTTGATCAATGTTTTTGCAAAAAAATGCATGAAAATTCTGGATTATTTCTAAACATTTTGGTGTTCATCATTTTTTGTTTTATTATAACAAATAACAAGAGAAATTAAATTTTCAATTTCATGTTTTATGTGTAGTAGCTTGTTCAGCTCACAATGCAAAAAAAAATTTAATGAAAATTGAAAAAAGACGAGAAAAAAAACATCTAAGTTATTGAAAAGTAGCATCCGAACTCGGCAAGTTGTTGTTGTCTTCTGCAAAAACAGTTGTTTTCAGGCCAAAATATGATGAAAATTAATTTTGCGTAGAATTTGACCAAAACTCTCTATGCATCTTTAAGCAAAATTCGAACTAAAATTAAAATCTTGAAACTGGTCCATTCGTTTGGTTAATAACATATACCTACTTCAAAAGCACAAATAATCTTGAAGAGAAAGAAATTTTGCAAATAAAGGTTATTGAAACACCCTGTATAAAAAATTTGTATTTTTGATCAGCTGTTGCTACAGTTGCTATCATTTCCGAAAGAACAAAATGAAGTTTGTTTTTATTCTAACTTTTGCAGAAACTGACTGAATCTTTACGCTCATTTTTTTTTCTTCAAACCAATTACAATTTTATTTTATTATTCTTAAAGCGAATTTTGTTAAGATAAATCATCGACAAGTCATTTTAACTACTTCTCACGAAAAAACGTGATTTCATGCAGCGATCAATTTATGACAATTTTGCAAACTATTATTTTAGAAATTAGTTTTGGTGATAAAACTGCATAAAGTATTGTTACTGAGCCCAATTCAAAACAAAGGGAAAATGTGTACAACAACACGTTTGCAAAAATTATAATTTGCGTCCACCTTCACATAACATGTTACAGCTAATGACGCAGATCTGGTTTTTATGACTTCAATCACGGCATGAGAAAAACAAACTGCTTAATTTATGGCTTTAACTTGCGTCCAGCTTCACATAACATGTTACAGCTAATGACGCAGATCTGGTTTTTATGACTTCAATCACGGCATGAGAAAAACACACTGCTTAATTTACGGTAAAACCAGTTTTAAATTCAACTTTCTTGTAATGTTTTACCAAGATGTTCAACGTGTTCTTTTCATTTTTTCTGTTACTTATCGGTTTTATTCATTCTTTTATGATTACAGAATGATGCGTACGTTGCCTAGAACATTTTAAAAGCCAAACTCAATCTCTGAGATCACAGTGCGCAAAATTCGAAATGTTTTTTTTTCTGCGAGAGTTTTAATTTGCGACCACCTTAATATAACATGTGACGGCTTTGACGCAGATGAGAATGACCACATGTGAAAAAAATACTTATGGTAATTATGCTAGACTGATTTAAGACGACATGAGAATAAAAATATGCTAAACTTATGGTAAATAAGCTTAATGTTCAATTTTCTCAGTGATATTTTACAGCACTTTCTCAGTGATATTTTATAGACTGGCCAAAAACTTAACAACAAAACAATGCTTAAAATGAGATTCTTTTGCATTTTTGAATCAGCGACGTGTTGTTTTCATTTTCTGTATTATTCATTGTTGTAAATCAAAGTTTCAAAATGGCGGAGAGTTGCTTTCGTGATTTTTATCAAGAGCTCGATGGTTTTGAGCTGGACATGCCCGGAAGACAGAGAGCTCTTTTCAGTGACAACGAGACCCTCCTGAGAATGTTGCGATGTCAATATAGTAAATGGGCTGACGCAGGACCAATAACTTCAGTTCCGATTGCCAGAATCCCAAGACTGTTCCTGAAAAACATCCAGATGAGCCCCGAGCTGCAAAAAGATTTCAAATCTCTTCAAAAAGGCGAGGAAGGTGAAATAAAAGTCTATCGGTTACTTATGGAGAACTACAGAGAATTTTCAAGAGGCGTCATTGTATTTCCAAATATAAATGGACGAGAGATTTTTAGCACCCCATCGGCTCAAGTTGAAATTGACATGGTTTTAGCGCATTCAGTGAAAGGAGTTTTTCTGTTCAACATAAAAGCTCAAGGAGGGAAGGGTTTGACGCCACAAAAAATTAAACAGGATTTCACAAAACATTCGGCCTTTCTTCGAATGCTCATGCAATACGGCTACAAAACCACCTCGGAATTTCCTCCAATTCATTTGGTTTACTGCCATCTCTATGATGACAATAAATGCAAATTTGAGCGCGAAATAAAACTTGATCAGAATGATGTTAAAATTCTTATTTTCAGCAAGACGGACTTAACTGTTGAAAATTTTATTGCTACTTGGAATCAGAATTTGGCTTCAATTCCCGATTTAAGTCCCAAATTATGGGAGAAGTTTGAATTGTTCGTTGCTCGATTGGTGACATTAAACTCTATTGAAGGCTCACTTGAGTTAATTCATGATCAAGTTAGTTCACACTATATTCAAGCGACCAATAAGAACAAGACGAACTTTGAAGACTTTGTAAATGATGGAGATACGAAAACGGTGAATATTTTGAAGGAAGCCTCGCTGGTAAAATCTCGCATTAAAGGAAAAGAACGCTTCATTATGTGGACAGCAGATCAATTGAAAATAATCTCCATTGTCGTTGAGCATTTGCAGGATCCTAGCAGAGGGGGGCTAAGACTTGTCGTTCAAGGGTGCAAAGGATCTGGAAAAACAATGCTTTTAGTATATTTTGCTAAAATAGCGGCCAAAATTTTTGCAATGCAAAATTCGGATCAAGATTGCAGAGGTAAAGTGCTTGTGGGCAGTGGCGATTGGATCAGATATCGTTTTCATTCAGATCAGATGCGTAATTTTCTAGCATCTTCGGGTGACATTGTCTGCAACTTGGGTTAGTTCTCCAAAAAAATTTAATCAAAAAATTACGGTTCAACTAGGAAACCAAATGCATTTTGCTTTAGAAAATGTAAGATATGTTTCTTTCAAATAAATTTAAGTAAACGCCCGCTGCAGACATCTCACTTTAGGCAAAATAAAATTTGGCTTCAAACCATATAAAACTGAATAGGTAGTTTTTACAGAAGGCTCAAAATTTTCAAGATAGATTTTTATTTAGTAACTGAAACAAAATTTACTTACGGACAATATTTTTTTTAAAGATGGTAGTTAATAATCTTGTTGTTTGTGTGCGTCTGTTTATCAGGAATTTCAGTTAATTTTAAAGTAAATTTTCCAGCCCTTTAAGTCTGTTCAATTGTTTGGCATGAGTCCAGTTTAAAAACAAATCGCGTACTTTGTTGAATTGAAAGATTTTTTGATCACATTCACCTCTGAAAGTTGAACCGAGGGTTAACAAACTTTTTGTGTAACAACTTTTTGGGGCACCACATTGCCCGGGAACATTCATTGAACACACCCATGTTCAAATTTGTTATTCGCCTTTGAAAATTGGTGCAAATTTCCTGTAAAGGCCACGGTATCTTTCCAACGGTGCTTACTTTTTAGTTTTTTTTCAATAATCTTGATAACTTGAACTCACTTGGAATGATACAAATTTTTCGATAAGTTATTATTCAATAGAACTATTTCACATTTTATACGAGCATTCATACGAGCATTTCGGTCACAGCGAAATAGCTTTTAATACGAGCATTCAAATTCGCTGTGACCGAAAATAAGCGATAATTCCTAGCATTTTAGAAACAAATGTAACTGAGTCCAGTTAGTAGTAGATGTTGAGGCTAAAGTGGGGGGGGGGGGGGTCCTTGGAGACCCACATGTTTTAAGATAGGCGATAGAAGATCCAGTCTCCCAGCTATGTGTTAATATTGGATATAGAGACTAGAATGTAGGGGGTAGAATTGATGAGGTTTCATGGTTTTAGTGATGGTACGAGAATGGTAGGAAAAAAGTTTTTTTTCGATTTTGTATGGAAATGTCTAATTTTTTCACAAACGTTTCGGCACCCGTTATCTAATTGGTAAATATCAATTGTTAGTTACGTAAAGAATGTGGGATAGGGATTATGCAATTAGTTTTTCGGTTCATAGTAAGTCAATGGTGGGAGTTTTTGGGCAAAATTTGAGATTTTTTATCAAAAAAACAGTGGGATTTTTCAAAATAAAACTTCGGAACGCGACAAGATTTCGTTTAATTCGTCTTATTAGTTATCTTATTAGATAACTTTACTTATTAACACAGTGCTCTATCTACCTGAAACTCTGCTGGAAACTACTGAAACTTCGAAAAAATGAGTTTTTTGAGAAAAAAAGTTAAATTACAAAGAAACATATAACTCATTTTAGGGTGAAACAATGAGAATAATAAACTTACACGCATTCATGTATTGATCAACAAAGTCCCATATACATGTCCTATGAACTAGACTAAGGTTATTGAACACTATCTTACGTCTAGATTGACAACATTTCTCGGTTTTTCATTTAAACAGCATTCATTGCTTACTTTATCTGGACACTTAGTACTGAAGAAAAACAATATAAAAAGTACAGAAAAAATAACAATGAAAAGTCCCAAAAATGTACAATTGTTGTGTGGGAACCTGAAAGCTCTGAAATTTGTCAATTTGAACTTTCGATAATATTTCTCCTAAGACGATCACTTCGGTTACTCGCTCCAAGGAAAACTGTAAAAAATCTTGAGCTTTCTCCACTAAGTTCTGGATAATGCAACTGTTAAGCTGCATCCTGTAGTGAAGTCAAATCAAAAACCAGAATATAGTGATTTTGAAAATCTTCATAGAGAGAGCTGGCAAATCTTCGTTAAACTGCCTTGTTTTCATTGTTGTAGGGTAAGGGCGACAAGGAGAAGTTGTATCTAATGAAACCATTGCTCTTCCTTTCCCGAATAAACCTAAGCTCTCTCAAATGAAAGCTGAAAATTTTTCTTGATAGTTGAAAGAGTTTTTAAAAAAGATCCCGCAACAGCTGAAAATGTATTCGTTTCAACAGCTATTCTTCGTATTAGAGAGTTAATTGAATATATTTTCTTGTTTGAATCAGTATCGACAAAAAGGTATGATAAGGTTCTTTCTATAGTTTTCATGTAATTGTATTGAGCAGGTTCTCCTTCCAGATTCCATTGCAAGTTTTGATGACTAGGTTAAGCAACTGAAACTCTTCTGGTAAACAGCAAACAATTTTAAGACTGACATTTGATTTATCAGATAGCATGTAAAAATTAGGTCTAGCTTGAATAAGTTTAATTCGAGCTTTGATATTTGTTAGTAACAATTTTTCGTAAGTAAACAAATCAATGCCAAACCTCCCATAGAGTGTAAAATTATCTCTGTTCCAAAGGAATTTTCTCTATCAGTGAACGGAGGCATATCAAATGCATCAGGATTTTCTTCAAAACTGTATCCATGACAAGCAAATTTTCCTTTTTTGTTCACTGCCGATGATTTGAAATCGTTCGGTATTTGTACCTTATGAGGATATGAACCATTAGTGTTACAAACCATTGTATTGTTAAAACAAACGTCACAATAGATTGCTTACAAATGTTAAGTAACGTCTTGGTTCCTCATCTGAAACTTCCTCAGATTTTACTTCATGATCCGTTTTTTCTCTCTTGAAAGCATCAAACTGTCTTCCCTTGAATAATTGAACCTTTAAACTAAGATTGGTATCACGCATATCCAAGTAGAGATTACGATCCGTTTCAAATTTAAACTCAATTCTGCTTTCATCAAGAGAAGTTTTGAAGAACACTTCTTGTGTGTAAGATGACATAATTGTTTCAAAAACTGGAAATTTATCAAAAATTTCCAACAAAGAGTTATTAAAACCTCCGTACAAAAAATGACTACTTTGGTTTATACTCATTTTTAACTGTTCAAAAATTTTGCAAGAAAGGCTTGTTTTTTATCTACTTTTCGAGAAATGGATCTGGTTTTACTAGTTCTACGTTAAGAGTTTTTTCAACTCCTAATTGTTTACAAACTGATTTTTTTCACACACTTTTTGCATTCGTTTTGAATTTTTGCGTCTAATTTTAACTTCTCCAATCTCTGGAACAGCGATTTCAGCAAATAAAACTGCTCCAATCCTTTTTGAAGCTGGGAATATTAATTTTTAATGAAGGGGATTGCAGCTCTCCCATGGGCAGTAATATCTCATCCACATTGTCTAGCATGTCCTCGAAAATAATGAAATCAGCTGAACTTTGAGCAACCATCTCGTGTGAAGTCTAAATAAAAAAAAACATTTTTCAAAATCTTGCGGAACAACAGAACAACTCAACAAAAAAAAATTTCACCTGCACTATCTCTTAGTTATATCTTGATACTCTGGAAACAGTTTTTTAACAGTTTTTTCAAACTCTCAATTTGTGAAGGACTGAAAATTCATGTACTACCCAGTAGAAATTATGTTTTTTCAAGTTCAAATTTGTTATCCGCCTTTGAAAATTGGTGCAAGTTTCCTTTAAAGGCCACGGTATCTTTCCCACGGTGCTTACTTTTTAGTTTTTTTTTCAATAATCTTGATAATTTGAACTCACTTGGAATGCTACAAATTTTTCGATAAGTTATTATTCATTAGAACTATTTCACTTTTTAAAAAAAATTTAAAAAACAGCTTTTGACAAGAGCATTCAAATTCGCTGTGACCGAAAATAAGCGGTAATTCCTAGCATTTTAGAAAACAAATGTAACTTAGTCCAGTTAGTAGTAGAAGTTAAGGCTAAAGTGGGGGGTCCTTGGAGACCCACATGTTTTAAGATAGGCGATAGAAGATCCAGTCACCCAGCTATGTGTTAACCTATTAAGCTATGTGGTATAGAGACTACAATGTAGGAAGTAGAATTAGTGAGGTTTCATGGTTTTTGTGATGGTACGAGAATGGTAGGAATATATTTTTTTGGATTTTGTGTGGAAATGTCTAATTTTTTCACAAGCATTTCGGCATCCGTTATCTAATTGGTAAATATCAATTGTTAGTTACGTGGAGAATGTGGGATGAAGGTTATGCAATTATTTTCTTGGTTTCTTAGTAAGAGTGAATGGTGAGAGTTTTTGGGCGAAATTTGAGATTTTTTATCAAAAAATTATTGAGATCTTTTTTTAAAAACTTCGAAACGCGACAAGATTTGGTATAATTCGTCTTATTAATTATCATATTAGATAACTTTACTTTTTAACACAGTGCTCTATCTACCTAAAACTCTGCTGGAAACTACTGAAACTTCGAAAAATTGAGTTTTTTGAGAAAAAAAGTTAAATTACAAAGAAACATAAAAATCACTGCATTGTATAAAAAATTTACTACCATAATTTAGACTTACAAATAAAAAAAAACATATTTGCATAGAAAATAATTATAAACTTTTAAACATGCACATCAAGAACACTATTCAATTTCTCTGATAGATTTTACAAAGAAGAAAGGCAGAATAAATTGCTTTAAGCCAACACAAATCATCAGTTTGTTGTAATTTTCTGGGAATCATTCGCAAAGACTTTTTTGTCAGAAAATACTGAGTTGCATTTTTTGACTCAAAGAATCAGCAAAGTAATAACTTTTATCCAGTCGAGCATTTTTGTCCAGTGTTCTTCTCTATCATTGTTTGGAGCTGAGTTGATGATTGCAAAAAAGTTTTTTGTTAGATGAGGTACTTTGTCAGAAAAGTAAGATCACATGCACTTAAACCTGAGCTCAAGATTTCTTTCAGTAATTAGCAGAGTAAAAAAAATATACATTTTTGCAATTGTTTCTTGATTGATATCTAAGAACAAAGAAAATGATGGCTTGATACAATAAGAATAATATACTTACACGCATTCATGTAATGATCAACAAAATCCCATGTACATGTCCTATGAACTGGACTAAGGTTATTGAACACTATCTTACGTCTAGCATGACAAAA